AAAAAGCAGAGCCCTGGTGGCCTCCTGGTGCACCCCCAGTGGCAGACACAGCTCCCACCCCACTGCCCTCCCTCCTTAATTTCAATTAAGTTCGGGGGAAGGAGAAGAAAAGGGGGAAGGGGATGGATGGGGGAGGGAGAAGCAGCACTTACCCTTTGGGGACTCACTCCTGGCTTTCTTGCTCTCCAAAGGACACTCACTGCTGCTGTTGGGTGAACATACCCTTCTCTTGCCTAAAATTTCATCTGGAGGGGGGGGAGAGATGAGAGAGCTGAGTGTCAGAGCTGAGAGACACTTTGGTATTTTGCTGCTCTCACACACACACACACACTGATATTACAGGCAGAGAGAGAGGAAAAAAAAAAAAAAAATGAAAGTAAGAAAAATCATCATCTTGAGAGCCTTGATCTGCTTTCCTAATCACGCAGCCCAAAAGCACATAATGACTATTCATACACTGATCAATGCAACGTTTTCCAGCCATAAATTCTGAATCCAGTTGATTTTCCTTACTGAGTTTCATCATTTGCTCTGGTGCCTTTTGTCCCCCCGGTGTTTCCACTCCTTTCATGCCCTGATGCAAAGCAACTGGGGGGGGGAGAGGAAGGGGAGGGAAAAAAAAAAAAAAAAAAAAGACATGTTAAAAAAAAAAAAAAAAAAAAAAAAAAAAGCACAACAGATCTCTGAATCTTCCTACCACAGTATCTCTCTCTCTCTCTCTCTCTCTGTCTCAGTCTCTCCCCCTCCTTTCCCCCTCCTCCTTCAAAACCTCAAGGTCCTCAGCAATCTTCCCCCTCTGGATTGCACGGAAACACTCAGCGCCTTTTTTGCATTACTGCAGCCCCTCCGAAGCAACAGCGAATCTCTGAGACACAATTACAGCGTCCCCGAGCAGATCTCGGATCAATATCCTCCCCCTTAATAACGCTGGGGAAACTGAAAGCATGATGGTGCAGATGGGCAGGAAGGAAGAGCCTGTTTGTCACTGCGAGCATCGCATTCTCATCTATCAAGGGCTCGTTAAAGATGCAGCATCTTGAAAGAGAGAGAAAATAATTAAAAAAAAAAAAATAAAAAAATCCGGGAAGGAAAAAAAAAATCCGGAAAAAAAAAATCCGGAAAAAAACCGGGAGAACC